CATTATTAATTAAAAATAAATATTAAAATTTATCAATTAATTATTATATTTTTATTTTATTAGATAAAAAATTAGACCTATTAAAATTAAATAGAATGAGTAAATAATTAAAGTAAATAGCGATTATAAATTTACACTAATTTCTTATGAGTATGTGGTAATTTTTTTTCTTAGATCTATTTTAGACAAAAACTAAGAGAAAGAACTTATATGAATATAAGGCACTAAGTTATTTGTATAATAGTATTTTTTATGTTTTAATAATTATTGTTTTGATCATTTTAGGCAATGATAAGTTTTATTTGTTTAAAGTAATTTTTGTGAATTTGATAAATTTAAGTAATGCTATATAAGACATATATTGTAATTATTATATAAAAAAATTTATTTTAATTTTATCAACTATCTAATTAAAGTATTTTATGTAATATTGATATTCAAAATAAAATTTACTTTTGTAATTTTTTATATAAATTAATAATAAAAATATTTAATAAATACATTTTAAAAAAATCTCAATGTAAATTATTAATTTAGTACCAACTTAGCACTTGTGTAAGATAAAGAAACATTACTTTATTGTCATATAAGTAATGGACCCCACTAAAATGACCTTTCCGTTACAAATTGAAGAGTGTCTATTGTCTAATGTAAGCCGTGTAAAAATGGTTGATTTGCAACTATGCGATGAGTTGAGGGGTTGAGTCGTATCTGTTTTTAGTTGAGGGGCTGATTTGTCACCGTTTACTGAATATAGGGGTTGATATACCTTTTTATCTTTCTTTAGATTTGAACTGTACCGATTCAATTTCGGTGTACACCGAAATTTCATCCAAATATCCAAAATTTAACTGAAACGGAATTGAAACCATACCATTTCGGTTAACTTAAAAAATCAGTACGCCATCAGTATAAAATTCTTGCTCCGGAAACGGTACAGACAACTATACTTTTTTTTTTTTTTTTGGTGAAAAAGGAAATAGTATTGATCAAAAAACACGGCCCATTAAGATCTGGGAGACCAGATTCCCATGAGGTCAGCATTGTAAAACAAAACAAGACCAGACGGGCAATAATCAAAAACAACAAAATTCTCCGACAGTGAATGTCCTACAGCAGCAAGACGATCTGCACATTGATTGGCCTCTCGAAAAATATGCCGAATAGAAATATGAGGAATTTTAGACATAACCTCCCTGCAATCCACAATAAGGGAGAAAAGTGGGTGATGAACAGAAGCCTTCGCAGTACAGACAACTATACTTTGAAAGCGATGAAAAAGACGGAAACGTGGAGGCCTCCGTCAACGCGCACTTTCACCGCGCGCACTGAGCTCCTTCCGCGTACCCCATCAGTATAAAATTCTTGCTCGCAGCTCATTTACTCATGCTTATTCGTTTGCTACCCTCTTTAATTATTACTACCTTCTCTTTCATTGAATTCCAGGTCCTCTGATATCGACGGGAGTAGAAATAGGTCGAGACAATGGTTGAGAGTCTTCAGGCTAGTCGCTCTGTTCTCGCTGCAAATCCATTAGGTAAAGGATGCTGGAGTTCTATTTTCGTTTCCTATTCTTTGAATTCGAGGTTTAATGCTTCCTACCCCCTCAGTTCCTATTTATTCTGACTCTTGCGCATGTGATTTCTGATGTTAAAAATGGCTGAATAAATATGTCTGTTAGTGGTAGTTCCAACTTCCAAGCACTGGCGAAGCCAGAAAATATTTTTAGGGGAAACAAATAAAATTTCAACTAAAAAACAATAAATTTGTGTGTCAATTTAAAGAGTTCAAAATATTTTTTCAATAACATTTGTTAGTTTTTAACAATAAACTAATAATAGTTGATAATATAGTATAAACAACATAATTAAAAGATAAAAATAAACATATGTTAAATAAAAAATATATACTATAAAGAAAGAAAGAGGAAGTAAAGATTTTAGCAGACAAATATATTATAAAAAATTGATAATAAATAATTTTTATTCAATTAATTTTTATTTTTTTACATATTTCATATTATCTTTATTTTCCTCATCTTTCTCTTTATCATTAAAAGTATTGTT